TTGGGGATGAACAGGTTTCCTGATCCGTCACGCTCCTGGTCCCGATTGGCACAGGGATTGCCTGACTGGTGCTTGGGATGGCCAGGCCCGGAGATTGGCTCGAAGTGGGCACGAGCCTCCTCGCTGGTATGACGCGCCAGCTGTAACATCCTGGAATGCAAACGAATCTTCGTTTATCTCATTATTTTGCAAGCTATAGGACATATTTAGTTTAGAATTTAGGAAATGTCAAACATATGATAATACCAATATATTAATTTAAAAAAAAGACCGTTTTATGGTCAAAATTGGATCTTGGTTGCCTAATAATATTATTTGCGTGAATTTATCTAATTTATCACCCCAGCAAACCACGCGCCGTTACTTTCGGTCGTTACTTGAAACGTAGTCTCAACCGAAAGTTATAGAACAGTAGTGTTACACAATTAAATTATATTATCAATATTATTTAGAGGCAACAAAGATCTAGTCCTGATCTAGTAAAACAGCCTTTTCTCTAAATTGATTGGGAAATGTGTTCAGATAATATATATTTAACTACCGGCTTAAAGTAATTTGGGTAATCAATAATCAGTTTAAGTATTATGTATTTTAAATTTAGATCTAACGTCGAATTTTGCTAATCAATAATGTGTTAAATATAAAAAACGAACGATTAGCTTAGAGATCCGGAAATATCGCGGGAGAAATTAAAGAAATTAAATAATCAACGCGGCGATAGACTTACTTGGGTCTTCCCCTTCCAGGAAACGATTTTCTCTCAAAAATTCGTGAGGGTTCTGTATATAGACGTGCTAGATTCTAGTCCATGGTACAGGAAGTCTGCAAGCAAACATTTCCCCTTTGTCTCTTATTCCTAATTTGCTGAATGTAAATGATTAATCGCAAGTGCTCTTGCGATCTCACGCGGCAGGCACTTCGTCCTGGATCTACATTGCGCGATGCATAACAGGCGATTCGTGCAGACAAGACTGCAACCAAGGAAAGCGTGTATCCCATACACGTATATACGTGCATCGAACAAAATTATGTCTGTGGAAAAACAAACAAACCGACGGTAGGACGAAAGTGCTCGCAGCTAGAAGCAGTGGAAAACGCGAGCCTCGCGGAAACGGATCATTCTGTGATATATATGTGGTGAACTTTGTATGATCATACTTATTATGTTTCACTGCAAAAAGTAATAAATATAATTAAATCAGTTAATATTGGATAGTCCAAAAATATAAAAATTTCCCCTTATTAATCTAAATATATAACTAACAGTAGTTTAAATCCATCAAATGTATTTATGTTTATATCTTTTGGTTTAACACGTGAGCTGTATGAAAGGTTATTTGTATTTTTAAAGTAAATGATAAATAATATAAGTAAAAGAGTATATAATTGTGGACCTTAGCTACACAATATTTACTTTACCACATTTCACTTTTGAAACAGTTGCATTAAAGATTTTATAACTTAAAATGTAAATGGAAAAGACACAAATCAACAGCATTATTTTTATATTTTTACTTGATATCAATCATTAAACGAGAAAAAAATAATTAAGATTATTTTTATACTTGAGCAATAATATTTTTTAATATAAATGTACATGTATAAATAATAGAATATCGAAGAGATGGCGATATTATGATATACTTACAGCAAGCAGGTTGGCTAAGCAGGATGCAGTTGGTGGATATAGGCACCTAGAGATCTGAGGAACCAGTGTCGAAAAGTATTCTAAACATCTGCGGTGGAGTTCCAATTTTGATAATACCATAGTATTGAACATTCTTATAATTAGTCAGAGTAACCGTAGCCAAACGAAGCTGTATCATATTATTGTCCGTCGAAGATTTTCCAACGGTGTATGTCCTGTATAACGGAATTCTTGAAGCAACATAAATAAAATCCATTATATTATACGCATGTAAACGCGAATGTACAAATATCATTTAAAATAAATATGAGTTTCGGATATTTTAATTGGTCATTTGAAGCACTTTTTATTTAAAAACTATTAAATTAAGAAATAAATGCTACCTGCATTTATAAATTTACGTATTAGAATGTCGTTTAAGTATTTAAAAAGCAAATTCCTCTTTTTATGACGATAATCTCATTTAAGATTTTCGAAGGAATCTTCAAAGCATCTCTAATAATTTAGTCTGCTTACTTTATTCCAACTTTCAAAATGCGTATTTCTCACAGATTTAGTACAATTTTCGTATTTATTAAAGTATTCATCGCGAATTCTGCTGTGATTCCAAAAAGCGCGATCTCTATACGGAATTTATCCTGTCGATATAAATGTGGAGCGTACTCATCCATACAATGCTATGTTGATTAACGCGAAGCTGATTACCG